CGGAAGCGATGCGGGGGGGCGGGTGGGATTCGTCCGGATGCGGGCGGTACTCGGTGGCAGGGCTTCACATAATTAGTGTAGACTTACGTGGCACATGACACATGTTTTTCTACTTTCCGGCGAGCTTGCTTCAAGGTTTGCGCTTACCCGTGTGCAAGGAGGGAACATCCTTTCGAACATTTCCCGGGTCATCCTCGGTCGGCAAGTTTGCCTCAGAACCGGCGGAGAAGCAGGCGGAACATGATTGAAGATGCCAGGGTTTGATTTGTTGGATACCAAGGTTACCAAGTTTCTCCTTCTACACCTCCTCAATAGCTCTCGTGTTTGGCATACCAGCCGCCCAGAGGTCCCGGTTCTCATCAAAAGCTGTTTGGGTCGAAGCTGGTCCTCCTAGGTGTGCCCTATCGGTCCGATCCATCGCATTTCACTGATCTCAGGCCTGGTCAATCAAAAATGTGATTTGTGGCATCATTTGCCTGCTGGCACTTGCTTGGACGGGTCGAAAATACAGCGAGGACTGCGCTGTACGTTGGTTGGACTGTGTTGTTTGTCCTCTTTAGTTGGGTTGCAGATCGATCCAGGTCAATCCGTAGACGTAAAATGACGTAAATCATAAGAAATGGGCTACTAGGAAGCTACAGGGGCATCGCGACTCGAACGGAGCGATTTCGGACGCTACGATAGGGCGGCCTGGCCCCTTTTTCCCCAAATAGTGCTCCGCACTAAGGGGTTCTTACGGTAAGAGTTAAGGGCCGGGTTTAGATCAGGGTTCGCGCGTGTGGTTGCGGCATTTTGCGTGGGCCGGCTCGCACAAAAGTTATTTTTTGAATGCCTCATGTCCATTTCGACGGCGCAGGCTCGCATAAAGTGGGTGTCGCGGTTTTCGCGCTTCCGGGACAAAGCTCTCGTGCAGGTGCCGTGCTCGTTTTCGGACATGAAGTGCATTTTGCGTGGCAGGCGCAAGGAATTTGACACATTGGAGCCTCGAAAAGGTCATTTTACGTGGCAGGCGCAAGGAATCGGAGACTTTGCAAATTTCGTGGCAGGCGCAGTGTTTTGTGGACGTTGCAAAAACGTTGGCAGGCGTGTGTCATTCGCAGGACTGCGTTTCACGTGGCAGGCGCAGGGAATCCGCACCATGGATGCGATATTTTGAGGTGAAACGGCTGAATTCGTGAGAGGGGTCGCATTTTTGGAGTTTGAACTTGAGGATGCTTTTGCGTTGCCAATTTCAAAATTTGCGAAAGCCTCGTGCAATCCTGGGAATGCCTAGTGGCAAGAATAATTGAGACTCGCCACGGTGTTATGTTTTGGCTGGAAAGACGCCACTGGTGAAATTCATGGTTTTGCTGCCTGCGAGCATTTTGTGACTGGCTAAGATAAAATTGGACAAACCTGGGTTCGTCGCCATTGAAAATACCGAATACCTCTCATGGAAGCATGCTGCTTGCGCACAGGGCTTGAACATCTAGCAGGCATGGCTTGCGCACAGGTATTGCTACAAGCGCTTGCCAGAGCAACCTTGAGCCCCTATTTATTACTATGAACTATATATATTTTTGGTTTTTAAAACTCGGAAGTTTCTGGAAAAAACACACACCCGACGAACGACTACACACACTGCTCACCCGTTTCCATGTGTTCATGCGTTTCGATGGCCATTTCTTCTCACTGCGAGCGCTTCTTCGAGGGTTCTGCACGCTCGGAGCTCAGCTTCCTTTTGGTGCTGGCATCAGTGGCGTGAAGATTGAGCTGCACAGTGACCAAGTACTTACGTAAAGTCCGCTCATGTACATTCTTGATGGAACACGATTTGGACATTGAGCTGGTCCTTCCAGTCAGATCTTCGTCCTGTTGGCACATGTATACACATGGCGATAGACACCATTCCCTGCTCGAGCTGGCGTGCTCCAAGTGCATGATCACATGACAAAGCTTGTGCAATTTTGGAATCAATTTAAATCTAGTCCGGCCCATCCTGTAGCTCAAGTTGGCGGCAGTGGTGTAGTGGTCTAACAACTGGCGGCCAAAGGAAGCGAGCTCTTGGGTTTCAACCTTTCCCATGAAAAGGTTTGCTCGAAACAACCGGCTGAGAAACTTGTTTCCAGAGCATATAGCGTTGAGAATACATGTAGTGTACTCCTTGTGAAGGCTGGTTGCCTGCAGCACCAAACCATACTTGTATTCCAAGTACTTGGCAATGGCCGTGGTGTCAGCCCCCTTGAACCATCCCCTGGAAAAGCTTGGGGAGAAATCTGTATCAACAACTAACAAAGAAGCTGTCGCAGAACATAAAGAACAAAAACATAAACATGTTGATCAGTATGGAGGCCAGGGCGCCCTGTCGGGAAATCGGACTTGGCCTCAAAATGCAGAATTGTCCTCGTACAATCGCTTACATGAAGGCTGATCCTGTTGCTGGCGCACCATGCTTTCACTTCTAAGAACAACGCATGCAGGCGCGTGGGAATGTCGCCCTGGTATCCATCAAAATTGTCATCCAGCAAAGCAACCTAGTGTGTTTTTTGAACTGAGGTGGTAAGCGCAGCGCTTGTGAACAAAGAGCCCATAAAGGCAAAGGAAAACAAAAATATACAATGAAGCCCCAGGATCGATGGCGCTACCAGTCAGCTCCGCCATCACACCCTTGTGGATGGTGTGAAACAGATCCGGCCTGTAAAACCAAGTCTTTTGCCACATATCGGAATTGCGACAGAGTCTGGCCGTTAACGCACTCTCATTGCTCCAGGGAGGTTGCAAAGTGTTCAACGAATCGCTGCACAACCAAGAGCCAGCACGGCACTTGCTCCAGTCGCTGTAGGCAGCTGTTCCAGCTAAACACATGTGGCAAATGCCCTTCCCTCTGCCAGGGAGAGCATTTGCCTGGTGATGTGACCTCGCAAGATTTCCACACTTCTTCAGGAACGGCCAGTCACCTTTGGCGCAAATGACAACTGGGAACAACACGATTGTTTGTTGATAGCCCTCGTGCCAAATTGAAATTCCATCCTTGCACAATTCATCGCAATGCTTTGAAAAGTTGTCCAAAAGCGCATGAAAGACTTCAGGGGTCTTGTTGTAGCATGAAGCACGCATCACAGAGTACACAAAGCGAGTGAGACAACTCACGCCAACCATATTGACGCCCAGGTCTTTTGGCCCATGATCTCCTGGGCAGCCTTGTTCGTGAAGGAGGTGCCGAAACCGATAATGGGTTGCGTAGCGAAGACTAGGAATGCAGCCTTCTTGTGTGATTGCCCCTCGTCGCCATACACAGCAAGTGGCAGGCAGGCAGACAAATTGCCCTCTCTCAGATCTCAATTTTGATACCAATTCAGGATTTTCACCCTCAAACCTTTCCCAAAAAAGTTGAGTCGCAGTAAAAAGGTCTTGGCCTCCACAAAGGATGTCTAGGCGGTTCGCCCTGGAGAGCATACCCAAGTGGTCATCCAATCTCAGCACAGGGTGTAAACCTTGCAGCTTCGCATCAATGTAGGATAGCTTCACGTCAGCTTGAATTTTATGGTTCTCAAGAAGTCTTGGATCGCTCTCCTTTCCACTGTTCCGGAGTTTTTTCATATCAGAAAGCAACCGCGAACTCTTCAAGTGCAATGGTTTCTCTCCAATAGCTGCTTCATGTTCTTCGAGTATGGCCGATGTAAGCTGACATGTTACTCGGTCAGGCACCTTATACAGATTGCGGCAGCTGCATGCCGGTTGCAATAGAAATCACTAGAAGGGAAATGGAACCTGGTCACATGGTAAAACATCTTTTCAACACGTTCAAAATCTTTCAAGTTCTCTAATCAAGTTAGTCCACAGCTGATGGCCTTTGCAATTGCCTTGGCCACAGGCGTCAACGGCCGTGGTTGGCCAGACGCAGACGAAGGCTGGCCTGCGCTAGAATTGAATTGTCAGAAGGGCGATTGAAAGCATGCACAGTGTGGCTCAAAAAATCATGGATGGTCATATCTTTTCAGCTTTGCCATTCAATGCACTTTACTCCGGTCACAGAGACTTCACAGCCGATTGGCCGTGCTCAAAGCCACCCCAAAGCATGCGCTCACGCAACACTGAGGAATTAAGGTAAGCTGTCTTTTTGTTTTGGAACAGTCTTGACCGTTACAACATATTACATGGTTTTATTGAGGGCTCCAATCCGTTGCGCGCGCGCATGGCACCCCATTTCACAAGCTTCTCTGAGTAGCTTGTGTTGTAAATTAAAACTACTTCTTGGACTTCTTGGACGATTTTTTGTCCTTCTTCTTTTCATCAGAGTCCTTTCGCTTCTTTGAAGCCGGCTCCGATTCCGCAGGCGGCTTCGTCTTTTTCTTCTTCTTCTCAGCAGCCGCGCCCTCATTATCTTTCTCGTTCTTCTTCAAGTCCTTGAGAACAGTCCTGGAGCAGATCGATATGATATATATATATATACTTGTTGTTTTTTTGGGTTGCCTCACATAAATATTTAAACTTGGGGCCAGACTTCTTCACTTTGTTTGCTTCACATGTGGCGCGGGTGCTCCTAGTTGCGAGAGCACGAGTTCCACGTACAGCACTGTTCAAAAGCTTGGGCCACGACAGCGTCTCGATCTCAGCGAGCTTTGCCTTGACATTCTGCAGGTTCCATGGCCTTGAGCTTGAGCTTTTGTTGCATCCATGTTTTTCCATGCCATTTGGCCCGAATCCAGGGGCCCCTTTCGAGCACTGACTCGACCACTGCGGTCGGCGGAAAATCGTAGCCATTGCGGCTGTCCGGACTTCGTTCGTACTTTGTGTTTGAGCCCCTCGATACGCTCCACTTGTGCTCCACCCGCTACATGGTAGCGGAGCACGTTGCTCCAGCGACCTCCGCAGCTTTCGCCACTACATCCTGAACAAGTTCAAGAAGGTCTTCGCTGAGACTGGTTGAGTGGCTAGCTGCTGCCCCCTTTTGCATTTCTCCTGACCTTGCTGAGCAAGGCCCCTTTTGCTGAAGATTTTCCCCCTGGAGTTTGGTCAAGATGGCCGACAAGGATGCTTTCTCTGTCCCTTCCTGGGACGGCTCTGCCAAAAGCTGGCGCCGCTACACGCGGGAGGTCTCATGGTACTTCAGGGCTACGCCCATCTCCAAGCGGCGATATGTCGCTACCAAGTTGCTGAGTCGCCTGACGGGACCAGCAAGGCTGCTTGCGATGTCATGGAGCGACATGGCCCTGGACGAGTATGACGGCACGAAGGTTCTCCTGCAGAGGCTAGCTGCCTCCCCGCTTGTGAGGAGATCGATCCCAAATGCCTCGGCCATTTGTGGTCAATACTTTGGCTTCCAACGAAAGCCTCACGAGGCGATGACGTCCTTCCTCGTCCGAGAGGCTCTTGGCTACAGCGAGTTCGTTGAGGCCTTGGTGAGATTGGCTGAGGAGAAGAGAGGTGTGAAGCAGGAGGATAAGGACTTTGGTTTGCCTCCAGAAGAGCCTGACTATGAGGACGGCTATGACTATAACCAGGACTATGACTGGTCCTCATGGCATGCTTGGGGTGAGTGGCCGCTCGACGATGAGAACGTTGAACAGCCTGAGGAGGGTGACTTCGACCCCAATGCACCGACGGCTCAACCAACATCCCTGCCGAGCGCTTCGACCAGAGCTGCTGCTGAAAGTGGTTCACCTCAACATGGTGGATATCATCGAGTTCCACAGGACATCTCGCCCAGCCGACGTTCAGCTGGAGTACAACCCTCTCAATCTGGCCTCGCTGATGATCTGTCAGATCTGAGTTTCGCTGACTCTTTTGTGCTTGGAGTCCTTCGGGGGTTCCGGCTTCTCCAATCGGCCGGACTGTCAGCTGAGGAACGTCGTGACATCCTTTCAGCAACTCATGGTTCCCTGGACTTTGAGGAGGTGAGCCGTGCCTTGCAGACTCTCTGGGACGAACAGTTCATTGGTGCTCGAGCTCAGGTGTCGCACGTCTCCAACTGGCACGAGATGGCCGTGGTGGAAGATCCTGAACCTCATCATGATGATTGGTCATGGGATGTCTTTCAAGCTGAATGGCAAGGTGACGATTGGCCCTCATGGGATTGGTCTGAGGACATGCAGCCCCCCTCATCGGGGAAAGGCCGTGGCCCTTGTTTCATTTGCAATGGACCTCATTTGTCTCGCGAGTGCCCCGACCGTCGACATCCTGGTCCTTTCAAGGGAAAAGGAAAGTTCAAACACCACTACATGACGGAGTATGACCCGTACATGATGGAGGACTTCATGATGGGCAAGAAGGGTGGCAAGAAAGGAAAACAATCTCATTGGATGGAAGCCCAAGCCTGGCACAAAGGCAAAGGCAGTTCGACACGCTTCAAAGGCAAAGGTCCGAGCCCTCGACCACCTGTCAATGCCTACAACTCTGAAGTCTTCTTCGGTGGCCTTGAGATGCAGGCCCAAGAGGCCGGAGCGCCACAGCCTGCGCCTTCTTTGCCGGCAACACATGGTTTGCTGGATTGCGGGGCGACGGCATCTGCCGGTCCCCAGTTGGCCGTAGAGAACTTGGTTTCTGCAATCCTTGCCAAGGACAGCAAGGCAGTGATTCAAGTCCGCAAGGATGATAGGCCGCACTTTCGATTCGGGAACGGCAAGTGGGGAAGGGCTTTGTATCGCGTTTCGATGACATCGTCCGTTTCGGGTAGACCACATCATTTTCAACTATATGCACTACCAAATCCGTCGGACATGCACGACCCATCGTTCAAGCCCTCATCCATGGTGCCGGTGTTGATCGGAATGGACCATTTGTCGGGAGCACGTTCTTCGATGGTCATCGATTTCGCCACTGGACTTGCCTTGGACTCTCATGAACCACAACCTGAGATCTATCAACTGGAGGTGAACCCCAAAGGACACTATGTGATGGACATTGTCTATTTCCTCACACGGGGACATGAATGCCATGAAGGACACCCCCCAGGTCTATGTGGTTGAAGAGCATGCGGTTTTTGAGAATCACTTCATTCAGTTCATGCCCTTGGAGTTCATGACCACTTCAATGGACACCAGACCTCGGAACTATGATCGAATCGAACAATCTCGTCGACATTTGTTGACACTCCATGAACACATCCATCATCAACGTTCGGCGCTGCAGCCCACGACTCAAATGAGCCGGACTGACTTGGTCCAGCCTTTCAATTCGACGTCCCCTGATCGCTCTTGCCATGTCCCGCAACCGAGCTGCTCTCACAGAGAAGGAGGGGAACCTGATTTGGGACATACGCGGCGGCACAGCCGATCTCCGGGAGCGCCTGACGGGCAGCCCGGACAAGCAGGAGCCTCGACCTTTCGACGAGGGCCGTGCAGTGGGACCGGACAATCGCGATCCGAGGTGGAGTCCAGATCAATGGCCATGCTACGGGGAGCACATCGAGGACACCTGGAAGGCCAATCCTCATGCCAAGTACCTGCACTGTGCCACGTGCAACCTGAGGCTGCGCTATGTTCCTCGACACGGATCCCATGGGCAGAGCTCCAAGGTGCAGAACCCCACGATGATCCTCCGGATGCTGACGACCCTGAAGGAAAGGATGAACTCGGCACGACCATCTGCCGCAATTTGCCTGGCCATGGAGAAGGCTATCGATGCCGAGGAGACCCTGTCCACCCTGATCGGACGTCAGATGATTGCCCTGGACAAGGAAAAGGAGCGCGAGAAGGACATCAAGGGCTACAAGACTGCTCCACCGTCCAAGGGTGCATCCAAAAGCAAGGCCGCTCCGTCAAGTTTGACCTCGAGCTGGGACGTGGTACCGACCACACCACCGAGCCCGCACAAGGATCCTCGGAAGAAGACATTCCGGGAGCTCGATCTGGAGGACCTGCTGAAGGAGGAGGAGATGCAGCAACTCATGAAGCTGCTGGAGGAGCGCCGAATGGAGTGCGACCAGGAAGGTACACTCACCGACCTTCCAAAGGCCTATGGGAGCGAGGCATGACCACATCCTCAAATACCACATCGCCCCTGCCGAGATCTATGGCTGCGCGGCTGCTCCTCATGGCTACAACATTGATGACCGCTATGGCATCCACAACTATGAACTTCCTGATGGATGGAAGGGACGGCGTTTGGGAGGTGGCCTGTGCACCTCACTCTTGGCTCAGTGAGGCCTGCAGCCAACACGGACTGAATCCCAGAAGGATCAACCTCTCCACTGGCTATGACATCTACCAGAGATCCACCTGGGACCATTTGAAAGTCCTTCGTCGCCAACACCGACCCAGGCGACTTTGGTTCAGCCTCCCATGCACGAAATGGTGTCGGTGGTCACATCTCAACTACCGGACCGAAGAAGGTCGTGCCCAACTGGAAAAGTACCGCCGGCGTGAGAGAAGGATGCTATGGATGGCGGCTCACTTCATCGAGGAGATCCTCAACGAGGATGAGGAGGTGGACATCTACTTTGAATGGCCCTGGCCCTGTGAAGGCTGGAACCAACACCCCATCGAGTACATCCACAAGATCCTGGCCAATCACGGTCGTGAATGGCTTCCATGCCGGATTGACGGCTGCAACTATGGGCTTCGAGCTTCTGATGAATCCGGTGGCTTCCTCAAGAAGCAGTGGCGTGTCATGACCACCAACGAGCAATTCCACAGCAAGTTCAAATGTAAGGTATGTCCTGGAGGCCACAGCCATACTTGGATTCAAGGCATTGAAACTGCCAAGAGCTCCTACTACCCATGGAGACTATGCAAATCCATCGCTTTGGCCTGGCGACAGGAGTATGTGTCCGACCGGAACCTCAAGCTCGTCTTTGCCCAGGAAGATCAGCCGGAAATGATCACACTTGAAGAAGAGCTTCACCATTTGGAGGAGCTACCTCATGTACTACCTGCCCTACAAGCGGAACCATCCTCGAGCTCTTCGTCACTGAGTCCTTCGAAGGAGGAGCTTCAAAAGTGGCAAGCACGGCTGTCACACTTCCACAAGGCAGCAGGACATCCTACAGCTCGCAACTTGGCTAGATTGGTCCGTGACGCAGGCTGTCCTGCCTGGAAGGTTCAATCAGCTCTTGAACACCAATGCGAGACCTGCAAGTCTCTCAAGCTGTGCGGAACTTCATCAGGACAGATTCCACCTGCTGCAACTCATCCACTACCTGGTGCCTGGGAATGCATTGGCCTTGACACCGCTGAATGGCTTGTTCCAGGACAACAGAAGAAAGCACGCTTCATCCTCATCATTGACCTCGCTACCAAGCTCCGGGCGGTTAAGCTCATCAAGGAGTACCCTGAACTGGCGATGCAGCCAGAATCCTCCGAAGAGATCATTGAAGGTCTTGTACATGGCTGGCTGGCGCACTTTCCGAAACCCAAGCTCATCGTGGCGGACAACGCCAAAAGCTTTGTCAGCGCTCGCTTCCATGAGTTGTGTGAGGCAGAGAACATTCAGCTGCACTTCCCACCAGAGAAGGAACCCTGGAGTCATGGCATTGTGGAGGCTGCCATTGCTGACATCAAACATGTTGCAAGTGCTATACAACTTGAAGCCTTGGACAACACACCAGCTCTTTCCCTTACCTTGGCTGCCTCCGCCTTGAATGGAACAGAGTTCACTGCTGGATACTCTGCACATCAATGGGCCTTTGGCGCTCGCTATGCCATCTCCGACGAAGACATTCGGGTATGGAATGCCATTGACCCCAAGGAGGATTTTCTGCGAATCTCCAAGGCACGAGCAGAAGCTGAAGAGATCGCGAGACGATCGCGTGCGAAAAGGGTGATGAGCAAACTGACCAACACCACGGTCAAACAACCTCTGAGGACCTACAGTCCCACCGACCTCGTGATGATCTGGCGCAAGGTCCAAGCTGGCGAACAGCATCAAGGCTCTCGAGGAGGTCACAAGAAATCAGGTCGACCACGCTGGGTAGGCCCTGGAAGAGTGGTTTTCGCAGAGAGCATACCTCATCAAGAGGTGACCGACCAGAGACAACACATCCTGTGGGTTCTTGTTGGCCGACGACTATGGCGATGCTCGGTCCACTCTGTCAGACCTGTCAATGAGGCCGAGCGACTACAACATGAGCTTCATGGAGGTGAGGATCCCACTCTCTGGAAGACGCTCGAAGATCTGATTCCCCGCAGGGAATATCAAGACATCACCAATGAGGAGCCCACTGATCGTGATCGTGAACTACCAGACTTGCCGCCAGAGCCGAATGCCACGACATTGGCACCGATTCGACGGGCTGTTGGAAAGTCAACTCTCCAACCATCGGACTACAAGGTGGTCAAGACACACCTCAAGCCCGACTACAAGAGCACACATCGATCAAGTCCAATTGGACAAGTGCGAGAGGCACCAAAGCCTCAGCGGTACCTTCCACAGCCTGAGATCCCTATGGCGGACTACACGCCCACAGAACCACCTGATCCTGGTGAACTTCAGGAACGAATGGATGACGTCGTGGACAAGTCAGAAGCCGTGAACGACTATGACAACCCCGACCTCGAAGCTCCAGAAGCCAAGAAGGCCAAGCTGGACCATCGAACAGAATATGACCTCAAGTGGCTTGAACAGCTCCATGCAGAAGCTCAACAAGAAGTCACCCATGAAGATCTGTTCACCTTTCTCCAATCCTATGAAGGTGACTGTCTGCACATCGAGCTGGACCTGAACTTCAAGGACAGGCGAGATCGCCGCAACTTTCAGCTGGACCCCGTCCTGTACCTGACCAAGAAGCTGAATTCTGCCGAGGTGTCGCTCAAAGCTCTGGGACCCGATGATCTCATCCTCTTCACCAGAGCTAAGGCAAAGGAGGTCAACTCCTTCCTGAAAAATGGCGCTGTTCGGCGCTGTTTGAGCGATGAGGAGGTGAAGAAGGCCTTCGGCAGTGGAAGAATTCTCAAGGCCAGATGGGTCTTGACTTGGAAACCCATTCCACCAGACGAGGTGGAGGAGAGCATCCGTGATCGTGAAACCAACCCGGAAACGGTGGTGGATGCTACCATCAGTCGAAAAGCCAAGGCTCGCATCGTCCTCTTAGGTTACCAACACCCATCATTGTTGGAGAGAAACTTCAAAACCAGTGCCCCGGTGATCTCAACGCTTGGACGCCACATGATATACCTGGCCTCCGTGGTGCACCAATGGCGCCTCACTGGCCTAGATTTGGCCACAGCGTTTTTGCAAACTATGCCCACTGAAGCCGATGATCAGCTCTACACCACGGGAGTGACTGAGCTCCGTCAGGCCTTGGGAGTGCCTGAACACTCCTGCCTCCGGATTCTGCGCAACATCTACGGGAGCACCACCGCTCCTAGGGGATTGTGGCTGAGCCTGAATGAAAAGCTCACCTCACTGGGCGGTCGCGCCATCCGAGGCGAGCGATGCTTGTGGGCCTGGTACAGCAAGCACGAGATGGATCCTGTCACTGGCAATCCACGCCTGCTCGGTCTCATGGGAGGACACGTCGACGACTTCCACCAGATCGGCGATGAGAACTCTCCCGAGTGGCAAGAAGTGATGCAGCTCATCGACACCTCCTACAACTAAAAAAACAAGAAACGTGGTTCCTACCGCCACGCCGGGTCCGATGTGCACACCATCCAGGAGAAGGATGGTGGCTTCCGCATCCAAGTGGATCAGAGCTTCTATGTCGAGGGCTTGGCTGACATCAGCATCGACCCTCAGCGCCTTCGAGAACAAGGTCCCTTGGCGCCTCATGAGGTCAACGCATGCAGGACAGCACTTGGAGCCCTTCAATGGCTCGCTGTCCAGAGCCAACCACTCATCACTGCCCGTTGCAACCTTTTGCTCTCTGAAATCACCACCGCTGGAACCTTGGAGAGTGCTCGCGAGATCCAGGCGATCATCAATGAGTGCCGTGCCCAAGCCACCTGTCTGGAGTTCAGTCGCTTTGATGACTGTGAGTCTTGGGACCAAGTCGTTTTTGTGGGAATGGGTGATCAAGCCCACTCGAATAGAGAGAAAGGGGGAAGCACTGGTGGGATGGTGATCCTGGCATCTTCTCCCAAATGCCTGGATGGAGCGGTGAGCAAGATGTCGCTGCTAGCTTGGCGCACCTGGAAGCTGAAGCGCCTTGCGGTGGGATCAAACGACGCAGAAGTGCAGTCGATTCTCGAGACCGAGGATGTCCTGTTCCGCTCGAGGGTGCTTTGGGCAGAACTCCATGGCGCTGGGAAGCACGTGGCTTCCACACGTGGTTTTGACATGGTGGATGCCATGGAGGCGGTGGCTCGCTTAGTGAGAGGCATTTTGTGTACAGATTCAAGAGGAGGATTTGACGCCATCGAAGTCAGTGAGTCTCCACTTTTAGGTTTGACAAACCTCCGAGCGGCCCTTCAAGCATTTCAATTGCGCGACAACTTGCGTCGCACGGGCTGCACGTTGAGGTGGGTTGCGTCGGATTACGACTTAGCCGACGGGCTCACAAAGAAACGCCCCGAGGCGCGCATCGTTTGAAGTCATGGCTTTGGGCCATTGCATTCGATGCATCGTTCACGGCTGCCAAAAAGAACAAGCGACAAGGTCGCACAGCTGTGAAGAAGATCGATGACTTTGAAAGCTCAGGCCAGAGTGAGTCAAAGACTCAAAAACCTTTTTTGCCGGTGCAGGTTCCATGGCCTTGAGCTTGAGCTTTTGTTGCATCCATGTTTTTCCATGCCATTTGGCCCGAATCCAGGGGCCCCTTTCGAGCACTGACTCGACCACTGCGGTCGGCGGAAAATCGTAGCCATTGCGGCTGTCCGGACTTCGTTCGTACTTTGTGTTTGAGCCCCTCGATACGCTCCACTTGTGCTCCACCCGCTACACATTCTCAGTAAGGTGCCTGCGCACAATGGGTTTGGAACGCATTGTTCAAGTGTTTTGAAAACGCGCTGACCTTTTCTCGTCAGTCTTCTTGGTTGGCATTGGATCCACAGGCGTCCAACTTGCCCTTAAGCTCAGCGAGCTCATCGTGAAGGCCCAACATCTTTTTGCGATATTGGCTGATGCTCGCAAGAGACCTGAACCAATTTCAATTGATGAAACCACACCGGAAAAGCAAGACGAGTCCAACACGTTGCTCCATCCTCATGGTCGCAGGCCTGCATGCAAGGTCAAGCATAAAGCGTGGGGACTTCCAGGTGGGTAAAAGATGAAACGAACGTGGAAAGCCTTCAGCTTGCGCTCGATGTCAAGAAGTTTCGATTGCGCTTTCAAGACCTCCTGCAAGTAGGGCATGATGTCATCAGGATCCTGCTCGAGGCACGGACAGACTTCCTTGTTTGACACGCATACACAGAAACCCCACAAACATACACATTCGAGCTAAATCGATTGAAGAAATTAGGAGTGAAGATGTGTGAGGTCCTCCATATCGGGCTCGTCGTCATCCGCCTCGGCCGCCTTGACAGGCTTGCGATGGCCTCTCTTCATGGACCTGCGGTCGGTGTCACCCTCAGAGCCGTCGTTGTTGCCATCATCATCATCGTCATCAGCATCTTCATTGTCATCAGCATTTTCGCTCTCACTCACTTCCCTTCCCTTTCTTGGGAGGGGCCCTCAAGCCGAGTTGGCGCGGTGGCCCCATTCCACGCGCCATCTGCGTCATTCTCTCTCCCTGTACTTCATTGTGAGTCTCTTCAATTGACTCTTCTTCTTCTGCTTCCTCAAAAGTCGCCTGCAGACTCTTCTCCACCCAGTAGGACTGGACGTCTTTCTCATACAAATCTTTCGCAATGTGGGTCGCCTTTCTGCCTTTGTTTGAGCAGTACTGTTTGATGGCCTGGATCCGCTTCCTTAAGAACACCGGTGCGTGTGACACACTGTACGAAGAACATTCTCAGATGGAGTTCAGTATATAAGAAACGCTTAGGCTCAGGCGGTGTAAACTTCAAGTCTTCTTTCATTTGCTTCTCAGTGTAAAGTCCAGCAGTAGTCTGGAAACTGCCTTTGCGCGTCCTGCGGAACCGCTTCGTCACCTTCTTCAGGAAGTATTTCTGCACAAGCGAGACTCATGAGCAAGTTTGGCACTCAGTGGGATTCAAAACCTGGCCTTGTCAAGCTTGCACTCATTCATGAAGAAATCGAGAAGTTCTTCTCGAGCTGCGCCCTTTTTATTGAATTTCTCGCTGACATGCTGGGGCACATCCAAAACCCCAGAACCCTTAAGCATGCACATTCTCCGGAGCTGGTTGAGTGCGGCAGCCTTGGCCTTCTTGTCCTTGAGGTCATTCAGCGTTTTCATGACCTGTTGCAAATTTGTAGCCGCATGCGTTCTTCACATACATGAACTCAAGTCCCTGCATGTACATCCATTTGAAATCGCTTCAAGGCCTCACGCTGGGCAGTGGTCTGGGCCTCAGAGCAAAAAAGATAGTCAACAAAGAAAGACTGCAGCAGCTTGAGATTATGTGAGTTTAGCGTTTTGGAGGCCCTAAGATATGAGCTTTTGCTTCGTTCTTGACTGGAGTAGGAAGTGTAGATATCATCATCTGCTGCATGAGCTTGCTGAGTTCTGCGTCGTCCTGTTGAAAAGCAGCATGTTGCATACTAACACACACATAAGGAAAAACTATTGACTATTGGTCAGTGTCAGTGTTGTCTTACATGTGCACATGCGCGTGAGTCCTCCAAGGATGTATCCGGGATGTCCGTGCTCGTGTAAGGGTCGACTGTTGCTGGGGTTTCATCTTCACTTGAATCACCTTCAGCTTCAGTTGATTGAGCCTCTTCATCAGAACCAAAAAGATCGCCTTCCCCAGGCTCAACCGGTTCAACTGGCTCAATGGGGTCAACTGGCTCAACGGGTTTAACTGGCGAAGAACACTTCCTTTCATTGTCATCTGGTTGGCGGGTACGAGCAAAATTCTTTTGAATTTCTTCAGCTGTAGCAGGTACTGTCTCATCGTCCACTCCGGCCTGTTGGCCAGAACCGTCTGCAGCCCATGGGACTGCTGAGACCCCTGTGACAGTGGCATCAATTTCTTCAAGGGAGTCTGACGGCCCGTGCAAGAGTTCCAGCTCCTCGCGGGAGGCCTTGCAAAGAAACAAGTAAAACAATACATCAAACCAAACACTCAAAACCTGCCATAAGAAACCAAACATAGCACCTTGCCTCGATCATTTCTTCAAGGTCTGCTTCCGTTTTGACTTGAAGAGTCTGATCCTTAAGAAACGACTGCGCTGCTTTGAGGGTGTCCACGCTCATGGCGCCCGTTACCCGTCACCTGGAACAGTTAACGGAAGATTTCTAAGCCACGTATGCACCTAAATGATGCATTTGCACCTCTGCGCATACCCATGCCGATCTAGCAGATGTTTCGCCTTCTGAAAGATTATACTTTTGAGACTTGTTAACATTGCTGGTCACTTGCAAACAGTTTTGAGTTCACTTGTAAACTTAAGTTGCGGCTATATACATGTAGCTACTGAAAAGGCTGCTCCGATTGCAGCTTAGTCTCTGACTTGCTTTGAGCGCTTTCTCCATCCCTTGATATCCCCTTTTTCCAGTTTTGGATACCGTTGTTTTGGCCAAGCGTGGTGCTTTTGAAGGATGGGTAGACCTCCGCAGCTTTCCCGTTCGCAAAAGACGGACAGCCCTTGAGTTGCTCCATATTTTGGTCCGCTTAGGCGTTCGGGAGCCCCACAGTTTCATCCAAAAGCTTTGACGGTATACCTGGCACGGTGTGTTCAATTTAGAATAAGCGCATTCTTGCGTGTACAGGTTTGCAAGTATACATATCATATTAGCTAGTTCTTTACTAGGCCTTAAAGTGCATTAGAATTGGCAATGGAAAGACCCCCACAAGTCCACCCATTTAGTTCGCTTAGAAAAGGTGGCAGAGGACTTTGCGGGGGCCTTTTCATTTCCAATGTCCAAGAGAAAACTGATAGACTCATGCAGAAGTGTGAGAAATCAAAGTGAATGGCCTTGAAAGACCGAGCAATGTGCCGCAATCTTGGGTGCCGAAACAGAAGTGAAGACCCAGGTTGCTCGACCAGGAAAGCTCCTGCCCATGCACCGGCGCAAAAACAGCAGCCATGCAAGACTGACTCAGCAAAGACTGACTCAGCATGCTCTACTCATGGTAAACTCCTCCACGGGCATGGATTATATAGAGCAATAGGGCTAGCCTGCCAAACAGGACCAATTCCACATCCGCACCACTATCGATTTCTGTTCAGGCCACATGCATGAGTTGCGACTCCTGCGCGCGCCATACAAAAAGCAATTTGATGCCCGGCCTTGAAGCAAGGACATTGCCCATTCGTACACTTTCAACTGACGGGTCACCGAGCGGAGACAGCCATGTGCGCTTCGTTGTGCCACGGCTGATTGAAACCCACGAGCTGCACACTATGGCAACAACCACAATGTGCGCTTCATCGCACCCTAGAACCGCAAGCACCGCGGTAATGAACCCTGCGGGTGTCATCAAGTCAACCAGGTTGGAGCTGGGAGCTTTTTGCCCCTTGCGTGCTTTTTTGACCTTGTAACTCGGCCAGTAGGCTATGTCGAGCGCCGCTGTTCGCAACCCGGTGGAACGCAGAACTCGGGTCACCACCGAAGCTCCAGCAAAGATCTCGAGGGCCTGTATCCCCTGGCACCGGGTATAAAGCCACCGTGAAAAAGCATCGTGCAGCAAAAGCTGAAATGGACCTGGCCTTGCCCGCTGGAAACTGATCAAAGAAACCCAGCGAGTGGAGCATGATGAGCAAAGCTACCAAGACCTGGGCCGAGAGCATGGAAAAAGTGAACATGAGTTTGCAGACTCTGGACTTGACTAAGATATGGGCTCCTGGGGCATGAAGCACCAAAAGCTTCTCCACCAACTCCACCAGAGATGATTGGCCAGCCATCATAGCGTGCATATCCATGGATCGAAGGTGCACTAAGCGAATATAGATGAAAGCGAACGTGGGTTTTATGATTTAAGTGAACGTGCACATGTATAAACACCGTGCTTTGTTCATGATGAGACACGCGGTCTTAAGCAGGTGGAAGTGCATATAGCAAAAGCGCATAATGCACACCAAGCAAAAACACACATCTGACTCAGGGTGAAAACAGCTGTGAGACAAGTGAACCGGCTGGCCTAGGCTTGTTGAAGACCTGGAGGTCCTGCGGCGCCAAGCTCTGCTCATGGAGGCCTGGCGCCGAGCGAAGCACCAAACACAAATGGACTCGATGGACTCAAAGACAAACTGAAGCTGAACATCGGTTGCACCGTTTTCCAAAGATCCCGATTGATCTGAGCATAGTCCATGATCCACATGGCCTTTCAGCCATGCATCGCAAACCCAACTCCAAAGCTTCATATTGGGCGCAAATCCCGACCAGCCAGTTCCAAATAAAAGGGATGCGTTCAACCATTTACTAATTGCGATACTTACAAGACACAATTTAGCCACTTGCGAGGTAAACTATTTATTGTCTTGTTTCTTTTTAGAGAGGAAAAAATTTGCGGCTATAGGTCAGGCCGGCTTGCAACCCAATATACATGCTCCAAACCCTAGACAAAAGCTACTGTAGCAACTACTTTTTTGGCCGCGTGCTTCGCGGCTTGTACTTGTCATTTAAACACTGCTTGCAACCTAGTTCTTCGTTCCAACTACATTTTGGACAACCGAGCGGTCGGCCCAACTTTGGCAACAAGCTTTTTCAGCTCATCCTCAGAAAACTTCCGCCGTCTCGTTCTGGTGGCTGGTTCGTCGGCTGGTTTTTTCTCAGTCTTCTCTTTCTTATTCTTCTTCTTCTTCTCAGCCGCTAGCTTCTGCTTACTCTCGCCCTTTGTCTTCTTCTTCTTCTTCTTTTTCTCAGGCTTCTTTCTCTTGCTTTCTGACCTTAAGATCTGTCGTTTGCTCTTCTTCTTGTGCTTTTTCTTTTTATTCTTGTTGTCTTCTTTGGTTGAGCTGCGCAATTCACGTTGCATCTCCGGGGTCACTTCAACCTCACCGGCCGCAGGCTCAGCTTCCGCTGGTGCATCTGGATGCGGTGCGCTCGGGGGCTCAACTTCCTGAGTGGTTTAGGGATGGGAGTTGTGAATGCGTTTTTCTTTTTTTGGCGCACGCAGGGGCAAACAATTAATAAGGTTAAAAGACAAACTATGTTTTTGTTACTGTTTTTGTTAAACATGCATGGCTCATGCTTCTTCTTCATCTCTTCGCTGAAACCACGGCCAGCGAAATAGCCCCTCCTCTCAGTCGCAGTCCCCGGCGCCGGTCGCGGTGATTCTCCGACATCAATGATACTGGCCGAAGACATCGGAAGTGTATCCACCTGTTTTAGTTCAAGAAATTGACATTGAAGTGTCTATCGAATTGTCTTCGTATGCAAGTTTTGCAGACACGAACACATGTGAATCAAAGGCTGAAAGATCGAGTACCCTAACCCATCTTGCCACCCATGCGCCTGTTCCATTGGCACAGCTGGCGAACCCTTGCCAGTGGCAGGCGCTGCGGTCGAAGGCAGCGCAGGAGCTGCAGGAGCTTTACCTGGGACACGGGTCTAGCCGGGCTGAGCTGGAGAATTAGGGTGAATAGGAAACAGTCCATCTATCTTTTCAAAAGCGGTGCAACGTTCCAAAAGCAAACCGAAGTCATATATATAATTTGATATGAAAAAATGGAAAGAAGTGCATAAGCTCAGTTGAATTTCCCATGGATTTCATGGATTTCCTCTTGGCGACCAATTCCTGTAGCCGAACCAATTCCAACTGCAGTTTAGCGATCTTGGCCGCCTGCTGATCCCGAGGGGGGGATGGGGTGGCGATATCGATGATCTCAACATCCATAGGTGGCCGCTCCTCCACCCGTTCTGGAACCCCAGTCTCGGTGTCCACCACCTCCTTTTTGTCCGCGGGACAACCTTCCTCTTCACCGCCTTCACCAACCCCACGACTGGGGCTCTCCTCAAGCGATTCCTCACCATCACCATCCGAAGTGTCCTACAGGTTGCAATTGAACACTCCTGTGCATGGGGCCTTGTTGGGTTCTATCGAACCGAGACATGGAATAAAATAGTGTGAGACATGCGCTCTGCAGGACCCGACCTGGTCGCTGGCTTCATCACCTTCAGGATCTCGAGGGCCATGGGCGACCAAGTGGTTGGGAAAGCCCTTCTGCGCTCGAAGATGCGCGATCAACTCGAACAGCTTCCGGACGTCGGCATCCTAAAAAACACAAACGACCCCCTTCAAAGAAACTGTGACCATCTAAACTTTTACATAAACAATTCAAAGAAAACCTGGCCAAATTACCAAACAAGTTTCTTTTGGTGTTTGCATCCTGTTCGCTGCGTCTTTTTGGCGCCTGGTAGCGAAGCCCCACAGCCGCTTGATGTTCCATGCGTCTTTGTATGTTTGGTTCGCCGCTGGTGCCATGCCCAAATAGCTGTAGAACACCTCCACCTGATGAGAACGCGGCTTCATTCAAAGGATTAAACCATCCAACATCATCCAACCATGATCAAACAACAAAAAATCTTCACACCAGAGCCCGGCTTCCCAGCCTCTTTTTGGATCCGTTCTAAATTGGGCTTTGGGCGAAGGCCCCAGCTATCAAGCATCTCGTACAACATGGCGCAGTTGTGCATGAGGAATTCTGTGTTCAGAGGTGGTCCATCATCAGCCTCCTCGTCCCCATTGCCATCCACACCATCTTTTCTCGAGCGTGATGGTTCTCTGATCCATGGATTTTGGTTCCGGACCCGAGCCCGGATGATGCACCGATTCTCCCATCGGCGGGCCAGTCGTAGCCCCATCATTTTTGGGCCAAAAAACTCATCACGATACTCAGGTGTTTATTCAAGATATGCAAAAAGATCCTCTGCGTCAATTGGGCACGCCTCCGTTGGCGCGCAGGATCATGCACCTGCAGATGATCGCTGTGGGCGCGTCTGACAAAAAAGATCGAGCGTTGTCAGCCACGCCTACCCGCGCGCGCGCACCACCACATCGCACCGACGTTTAATCTGTTGTCAAAAAACCTATTTTTGTCAGGCACTATACTAGTACATTAACATGGTCCATATTTAGGATTGGGTTAAACAGGAAACTAGAATTGGAAGCGCTTGGGGGTTCACGATCTTCATGTGCGCCCTCAAAGAAATGGCTGCAGGAGTGAAACAGCTGCGGAAATTAGACGGCGACACGTCAAACCGCAAAGCTTGCAAGCATCGTGTAACACATGTTTAAAAAAAACTACATACAATCACAGCGCCCTCCCAAAAAATTCAACATTTGTTCTGTGTGACTTCTTTTTGCGTTTGGACCACTTCAAAAAATCCTCATACTCCTTAAGGCAATAGAAAGCCAATGGCGGAAGTTTCAAAATATTCTATAGCTGTGCTTGTGTGATAGTGCTTGCATGCATTTGCCTTTCTTGGTTCACAAGTTATGCATATAGAACTGTGAAGGCCAAATACTTGAGCAAGTTCACGCGCAGCCATAGGTAGAAAACATAGGGCTTGGTACAGTTGCACATGACTAGTGGAAACATTGGCAAAAGTGCGCTGGAAAGGCAAACCTGCCACAGTGATAAGAAATTGGCCACAGTGGCGTAAATACGCCACTTTACACGGTGATAGTTTTTTTTACCACTGGGCTGTCCCAGGATTTGCTCAGTTTGGATCTCCGATGTGCAGATTTCGTGGCAGGCGCAGCACTTTGTGAATCTCGATGTGCAGATTTCGTGGCAGGCGCAGCACTTTGTGAAGCTCGATGTGCAGATTTCGTGGCAGGCGCAGCACTTTGTGAATCTAGATGTGCAGATTGCGTGACCTGCGCAGCACGGGAAGAGTTTTGTGAGTACTATGGCGATGAGGTCCTTTTCTATCAGGCGCAGCAGCTGACGTACTTCTGCAGACAGTATCTTTCCACCTGGTTTGACTACTCGCGGCAGCAAGAAGACCACACGGCTTTGCACCTGGTCTTGCGTCTGCTGAAGCGACAAGAGCTGCGAGACAATCTGGCGCTGGGTGACATACTGCTCCGCTACTGGTATCGCGCGATGGTTCTTCGCGTTGAATATCTGGGAGCTGGACCCGATGGCCATCTATGCACGGACGCCGAGTGCCAAGCAATGGATCGGATGGTGCTGCAGTGGGCTGTCGACTATGACAGCGGTGAGCGTCCCGCAATGAAAGCGCGACAACTGCAGCGTCTCTATTGGCAGAAATGGTTTGGTCACAAAAAACGCTTGCCCTCACACTGGCCCAGCATGGGGTCCACCATTGGATGCGAACTCAGCTGGCGCTCCACACGGTTGCACAGGTCCACGACAGTGATGCATTCCGAGCTGCGGTTGCGCGCTCGCGTGGGGAATACACCGACGACACGCACCCATTCCAGCCGACCACGGGAGAGATTGGGGTCTGGCGTCCCCGACTTTCTTGATGTCACTGCGTCAACTGCAGTCAACTGTGCTGATCCGCTGCGGTTGCGCGCGGGATTGTCTGCCTCCATGCTGCTTTTCCGCTGCGGGTGCGCGCGGAACGCATCCAAGCAATTCTGACCTCGTCTCGTTTTACATCTCTGCTATTTCTGTTTCGGGATGAGGCGGAATTTAAAGTGTGGCTGCTCAGTTTTTCGAGCTCACCGTCTGATTTGAATCTGACGCTTGAGTTGCATGAAAGGTTTGCATGGTTTTCATGGCATGTCGGTTGCATGTCAGACAAGGTTTCGAAGGGGCTTCTGTGTTCTTTTTTTATTTTTCCTCGTGTGCGCGGATTCTCAGCTCATGTCGGAGTCTATGTTCACCACGACCTGGCTCGATTGGCAACGGGCATGGTGTGAGGCGGAGTTGACGCCCCGCCAGTGGCGTCAAAATAGCGTCAGGAAGCGAGGGTATTTTTTTGCTTACCTCAAACGCACTTGTGGCAACCCCGTGTGGGTGAAGGCTCTGCTCAAACATGGAACCATACCTGGCCCCCTTGTCGTTGACTCTTTTGGAGGCGCGTGCCGCCAATCCGATTTCGCGCGGCGGCCGGGTTCTTTGGTGCCACGTGGATGCCGAGTATGATGCATGGCTTGCGTCCTGATATCCTCCACAAGCTGACAGTCTACTCTCCGGCTTCGTCGCATCCTTTACCTCGTCCCATGCGGTTGCGCTGGGGCGGCCCCTCGCATCGGAGTCGCACGCACTCGCAGCTTGCCACTGCATGCACACGCGGAAAACATGCGCGTCTGCAGTCGTAGCTTTTTGTTTTACAACGACCTTCAAGCCATACTACTCTAGCATTTTTGGCACTACGTTGGTCGCACTCTCCTCCTTACAAACTCACGCCTGGTCCCTCTGGTCTTTCACATGCTTCCGCATCTGCTGCTCTCATCTGTGCACTCTCACATTTGTGTTCTTGTATGTATCCTCTCATATTTGTGCTCTCATCTGTGTGCTCCTTCTTTCCTTCCACGTGATGCCATGTTCCATCTGATCCTCTTTACACTATTTGGGGTCCCTTGCCGGTGTAACCATTGTTACTAGGAGCCAGGGCATTGCTACTAGGAAGCTACAGGTGGCTTACAGTTACACATCGGGCTCTTTGGTCCGGTGGTCATTGGCATCCCCCCAGCAACCGAGGGGCGAGAAAGGGGGCTCGCGGTCCGACCGCTTGACCAGGACTCATCCCTGCAAGATGTGCTGGATGGATTGCATGAGAAACCCTGCTGAACATCGAGAATGAAGGAGACCTCATGAGACCTCTCAGGTGTTGAAGAATGCTCCACTCATATCATCTAATATCCACCAGTCCATCAAGTGTTGAGTTGGACCTGCAAACTAGCTTTTGAATGCTTTTGACATTTTTTGAACCTTGACTACTCTTGATTGGCCGCGCCAGTATGAACTGGCCATGGGGACCAGCAGCAGAATTGAGGCAGACTGACTTTGTTTTTTAGATTCTATGCTAGCTGCTAGGGCCTGCGCCGAAGGGTATGTGTCATGTATTATTGTGGCTCCTGGCTCCTGGAACGGGATACATACTTGGCGGGGACCGCTCATTTGACTCCGATTTTTTTTTGGGTTCAGCAGCGTTCAGCGTAGCTTGGAAGATTTGTGAAGTCACGCACATGATCACACACGTGTGCGGAGTACGTACTGTGCAGACATGTGCAGACCACCATGACAAGACTTGGGCACCCAAGTCTGGCTTGGGTGCCTAATTGGACATAAGCTTCCTTGATGCCACAGTACGTAGCGCCGCCTGAAAAACATCAACGTCCGACCGTCTGACATGTCCGCTCGTGGCGGCTGGAGCGTCCGCTCGCTTGGACCGTGGGGACCGTGGGACCCGGTGGATTGGGACGCCGAGGAATGATGAGGAGACCAAAACCTCCATCGAGTCGATCGAGGTGCTCCGTCGAGATGTTTGTATGTTTTATTCTTACTTCGGACGAAGTGCTAAGTGAAGTGCGTGTGGATTTGTCAGATTCGGATTCGATGGTTGAAAATTCTGGCGTGTGTGGTTTGAATTCTCAGCCTGTGGGTTGATGAGATCAGAAATCTGGACCCTTCAAGCCCAAGATGCCCTTGTTGTGGCTTATGGGGAGGCCGTTGATGGAACATTGCATGATGTTGCAAAGCTTGATAGGACTGTACTGCAGAGATTAACATATTTACTGTAAGTGCACCGACAATATGTTAGACCAACAGTCAACGACTTCACCTGGGTGGTTGATGCATTTGGATGCATAAGGATGCAGTTAATTATTTGGATTGGCCACTGGCACCGACTTTCATGGACACCTTTGACCATGGATGAGGGCGAGTCACTCCACCAGACGAGCCAAGCACTCGTATGTGGCTTTTACCGGATTTGCTCATGTCCGTCCCGGCCGCTTGCCGGCCGTGCTGGTTCGGGCTGGTTGGTCAGCGGTCGGTCAAACCAAAGAGGCAACCATCATTGACCAACACTGCGATCATATGATTTAGAGTATGATTTATATGATGTGCTTATGTTTTGTTGCGTTTGACTATGTTGATCTATGTTGCTTTATGCACCTCTTGTAAGCGGGAGGTGGAACCTACCAAGACCTTCTTTTGAGATTCATCTCAGGTGGTCAAAAAGAGTCTTGGAAGACCTTAGACCAAACCCCCCACGCCGCACGTACTCCACACCATCCCAGCCGCTTCACACCAATCGCGTGCCGCCTGGAGGCCTGGATGGCACCAACAT